GAATTGTGATGTATTTGTTGATGCCATCTTTCACCTTGTTCTGATACCAAATGTAGGGTCTGATTTTGCTTATGTATACCAAGTGTAGGATCGTGACCCTTAAGAATAGAGTGCGCTCTTATAAAAATCTGTGGAAACTTTACACTTAAACACTAGAGGGTGAGTTTGCAAAGTAGATTATTAATTGCAAAGAAAGAATGACAATCTCAGAAAATGAACATCATAAACACAAGCATGTATACTGGTTCCACCTCCCTGGTGTACATCCAGTCCCCAAGCAAATTCCGCTTGAGAGTTTCCACTATGATTTTAAAACCTTACAAAATCAAAAGAAAACCTGACCAATTTATAAGACCATGCAAATTGCAAATCCAATTGACAAGACCATGCCAATTGCTACCCAATCTCTAAACCAAGAGATCAACCCTCTCAAACCCGAGAGAAATCCTTTTTGAAGCAAGAACACAATTGATCCTATAAGCCTTGAATGTGTAGTGAAGTGCAGCAATAGCTTAGGATTCTTTTAACTCTCTTAATATTGTCTATACAATCTCTAAGAATGATTGAAACCAAGGCAATATCAGAAACTCTCTTTTTCTAAACACTTAGCATGAAAATCTGGAAAACTAGAGAGTGAATATGCACAAATATTTGATCTTATGTGTATGAATTAGTTGTGCAAATTTCTGAACTTATAACCTATTTATAGCCCTTGAAAAGACAAGTTTTCAACCCCTAAAAACGTACACAAAACGGCTATAAACAGTCACTTATTCAAAACCTAAAATCTGGAAAAACTAAATCTATAGTCGACTACACTGAGTCTAAACAGACTCTGTGAAGTCAGAAAATTACTTAGTAGTCGACTACAAGGCATAGTAGTCGACTATACTGTAAACTCACAGATTATGGAATTTTGTTTTTAGTATTTTGACTGTAACTTTCTCATCCGATAGACCTACAACTTTTATCTTTTGAGTTTTTTTAGATTCTAATTTATAAGGGGTATAAATAAAATATTTTAAGACTCACTCAATATCTATAACTCTAATGGCTAACATAGGTGATTTCTATTGTTAACCAACATACTAAGCACGTGTTAGTGTGTTCTAATACTATGTATGTGCATGTGTGTGAGTGATCAAGGTTTGTACACATTTCTAAGCAAAGAAAATATAAAATTACATTTTAATAATAAAGTATATCTTCTTATTTGATTCATTTTACCTTGAACTCATCTATGTCTTGAGTATCTCTTTGAAAATAATTATTGATATAGCTCTGATACTGCAAAACAAATGTTAGCACATAATACACACAACATATAATATTTATTATCGTCAAAATAAACTAATCTTGGGGTCAAGATTCCTAACACTAAACTTTAAGGGTGTTTTTTTATAAATTTTAAATTTAATAGATTTCTATTTAGTTATGTTCTTTTTTAAAAAGGTATAGGTAATATTGACCATAAAAAGTTTTTCCTAAACCTATACTTTTAAAGGGTGTATGATTTTTTTTGTAAATTTTAATTTTCTAAGGGTTGTTAGTAATTTTGCATATTCATTTTAGTGTCTATAGGTTAGAAATTCTCATGGTATTTTATTATAAATTATGGATTTTAGGGGTTTGTTTGTAATTTTTTAAACTTATAGGCCATTTTTACATATTGTAAATTGTTTACAGAATATTTATAATTTTTATGCTTTCAATCTACTAATGAGTTTGAAATTCTCAGAGTGTTTTTTTATAAATTTTGAAATTTAAATATTTGTTTGTAATTTTTGATACTTTAAGGATGTTTTCTATAAATTATAAATTATGTAGGAGATATTTATAATTCTTATATTTTTAATATACTATTACGTTGGAAATTATCAGGATTTTTTTATAAATTTTATCAATTTGAGGGTTTTATTTTACAATTTGTAAAATGTTCAGAGTGTATAATGCAAATTCCATAATTTTTTGGGGGTTGTTTGTGTTATTTGTAGGTTTTTAGTGTGTTTATAAGTTTAAAATTTTCGAGGTATTTCTTATAATTTTTGAATTTTTAGTGTGTTGTTGCAATTTTCAAATCTTACAAGATATTTTCTACGAAGTCAAAAAAATTTTAGTTTCTACTTAGCATAAGTTTTTCAAATTTCTTACTGAATTTAAATAAATAAAATTTATAATTTAAGATTCTTTAATAAAATTTTGAATTTGTAGTGGTGTTTTTGTAATTTAGAAAACTTAGAGAATATTTTTTACAAAGTCTAAATTTTTTAGGTGCTGGCTACCATATGTTTTTTAAATTTCTCTACGAACTAAAATAAATAAAAGATTTAAATTATATGAAACATATCACTTTTATCCAATAATATGCTAAGTCTCATTATGAATGAGATAAATCATTTAGTTATCAATTCAAAGAAGATAGGATAATTAGAATAGATTAGGATAATAATATAATATTCAAAAAAGCTAAGGGTAATATTGACCATAGAAATATTTTTCCAAACTCATACTTTTAAAGTTCTCATGATATTTTTTTTTGTAAATTATGTATTTTAAATGCTTTTTATAATTTTTTAAACTTATAGGCCTTTTCTACAGATTGTAAATTCTTTACAGACTATTTATAATTCTTATGCTTTCAATTTACTAATAAGTTTGAAATTCTCATGGTGTTTTTTGTAAGTTTTGAATTTTAAAAGTTTGTTTGTAATTTTTAAATCTTTAAGGGTGTTTTCTATAGATTATAAATTATATATGGGATATTTATAATTTCTATATTTTAATGTACTCTTATGTTAGAAATTATGAGGATTTTTGTAAATTTTATAATTTTGAGGGTTTTATTTTATAATTTATAAAAAGTTTAGATTGTATATTGCAAGTTCCATAAAATTTTAGGGGTTGTTTGTGTTATTTGTAGGTTTTTAGTGTGTTTATAGGTTTAAAATTTTCAAGGTGTATTTTTATAAATTTTGAATTTTTACATGTGTTTTTTATAATTTTTAAAATTTATAAGATATTTTCTCTAAAATAAAAAAATTTAGTTTCTAGTTAGCATTTGTTTTTTAGATTTCTCACTGAATTGAAATAAGTAAAATTTATAATTTTTAAAATGCTTTAATAAAATTTTGATTTTGTAGGAGTGTTTTTGCAATTTAAAAACTTAGAGAATACTAAAGTCTAAAAAATTTTAGGTGATGACTAGCATATGTTTTTATGTTTCTTTGCGAATTGAAATAAGTAAAAGATTTGAATTATATGAAACATATCTTTTTTGTCTAATAACATGTTAAGTCTCATTATGAATGAGATAAATCTTTTAGTTACTAGTTCATAGAAGATAGGATGATTAAAGTAAATTAGGATAACAATGTAATATTTAAAAAACCTAAGGGTAATATTGACCATAGAATGATTTTCCCAAACTCGTTCTTTTAAAGGGAGTATGATATATATATATATATACATTTGATCTTCGTGAGATACTTTTTTTTTCTTTTGGTCAATGAAGCAAAATTTATTCATTCAACCATTTGGAAGTATATGTACAACCAAAACTCACTTTTTGAGTTGTCTACATAAAGAATACAAGGAATAAACTTTTGTCCATGAATATCAGACCAGGGAATGATAGCTGAAACCTGTAAAACCTATTACACTGATAATAACCATTCTCTGTCTTCAACAGCTACGTACTTTACCGTTTAGAATTATGGTCATTAAATCTACTTTGATCATTTTGATAAGAAGCTCAGCTCTCCTGCTTTTTTGATTAAAGATCCTGTTATTGCGTTCAAACTTCGGGAGATACTTGAAGGATCTTTAGAGACATTTTTTTGGGAAACAATGTGGGCATATTTGATAAATAAAATTTAGGATCTCTTTTAACCACAAATTAAAGTTTATCTATAGTAATACATAAAAGATACAATAAAGGTAGTAAAAGTTGGATGAATGGATGATGTTTTCCTCCTATTTATAATTTGGAGGGTAAAATGGTAATTTTACAAATAGATTTTTCCTATTTATTTCTATTTTATTTCTAGAATATTCTAAATCATGAAATGAGAATAAATTTTGAACTCACATGATCAAAATTGTAATTTTTCAATAGTAATTTTTATTTTTACTTTATTTTATTTTTTCTTTTATTTCTAGAATATTCTAAATCATGACATGATAATACTCACCTTGTAAATTACAGTATCCCATTTTTTTATATGGAATCGAACTAAGGAGCTGGGGCTGTTAACAGTATTGCCAATGCCTCCCCAAAACCACCTGCCTACTCGTGGCTGCTATATCCCCCTTTTTTTTAATAACTCACTCCAATTATATTATCCTCATTAAGAAAACTGCTCATCATCTTTAAAATGTTAATATTTATAATATATTTAACTATTGTTGAGAATATAGTTAATCACTAAATAACGATTTATGATACATTTTTTACGTCGAACTCTATAATAAAATTACATAAGCTAAATCAACATCAAACTTTTAATACATACAATATAAGATAATTGTATAAGAATACGACTATCATAGTTATTAGGAGTTATTTTCCTTGATCATATCTTATTTTTTAATGGAAAAAAATGGTAATCAGTGACGAGTTTATATTTAGCGGTGCATCTACATATTTCCTACGTCTTTCTTGAGATATCGAAACACGTACGTGCACTCAGCTACTCATCATGCTGCCAACGGATGACACCTCTTCTCCTGATTTTAACAAGGGTTCAGATCTTCTGAAAGGCTTTTCCTGCTACAAGTTTAATTAGAATGTGATAGTTGCCGTCATCTGACAAGGCTATTTCAAATTCCAACAATAGTAAAGTAAAGCAGTGCATGAGCGCAACCCGTGCCTCGTCCCCATAACTTTTCTTGCCCAACAAAAACCTTCCATAATTTTCGACCGACACAGCCATTTACGCCTACTATCTCTGATTCCCCCAACCACCATTCAGAGCCCAGAGCCCTATATAAAGCCTCCCCCTCCAACCATTTCTTTCATCACCCTCATCCATCCAATTCCAATCCGATATATTATCCAACTAAGCACACAATCACCGCAATGGCTCGCTCCTCTGCTGCTCTCTTCGCTATCCTCTTCGCCTTCGTTCTCATCGCCGCCCCCCACGCACAGGGCGCCATCTCGTGCGGTCAAGCGGTGTCGATGATCTCATCGTGCGTGAACTACGCCCGTGGCCAGGGAACTCTGCCTCCCGGGTGCTGCAGCGGTGTCAGGGCGCTGAATTCAGCTGCCAGGAGCACTCCTGATCGCCAGCAGGCCTGCGCTTGCCTCAAGGCCGCGGCCGGTAAAATCTCCGGTCTGAATCAAGCTCGTGCCGCTGGGATTCCTGGAGCTTGTGGTGTTAGGCTCCCTTACGCCATTAGCACCTCCATCAACTGCGCTACGTAAGTGTCGTTTTTTGTTTCTACTCAAGTAAAGAAACTTAAGAAAAAGTAATTTGCTCACTACTTTCAGTTTGTAAATGCTGTTTACGTACATAGTAGAAAGTAAAAAAGAAGTAAAGCTCAGGTACCAGCTGGCGTTTGCAATAGAAAGTGAATATCTAAAAATTAAATAATAAAAAGATAAATAACAGATAACTAATATGTTGTGCTATCTAACATCTCTCGTTTGATTGCAGCGTGAAGTAAGCTCTTTCGCGTTCCTCTTATGACACTTACTACGTAGAAGATCAGTTGCAAGAATAAAGTGGAGGCTGTTCTCTGCACTCTCCGCGTGCCTGTTTTGTCTCCCTTTGTCACTAGATTATGTTTCTGTCGTTAATTCCGTGTGTTGCTCTTGTTTGAGTTTGTGTACCGTTGAGGTGTATCTTTGTGTCGCACCAAATCCATGTATCAATAAATATTTTCCTAGTAAATGATTGTTCCCTCACTGTGCTCTTCTAAGTGTAAATGGGGCTATCTAAGCTGGATCTTGATTCTCTTGTTTCTTCATTCTTTTTGTTTTTTTTAAAATGTGTAAATAGGGCTGTTGAACTAATCAGTGTTTAGCAACCTAAACAACCCAAGAGCCATAGTGTGATATCCTAGGTGGAAGGGAATCCTAAGAGTCAAAGTATAATAAGTAGGGTGGTATTCTAAGAGATGACTCCTTGTATTCTATGAAAGTAAATGTGTAGAGTATGAATGGTCATGTATAAGTCTATATAAACCCATGAGTGGGAGAATTTGATAAGGAAAAAAAAAAGAAAACAAAAGTACAAAATTCTCTATCTTCTTCTACATCTCTCTAATTCTCTATCATACTAGCATTACCCAAAGTTTTCTTCACTACTCAGTTCAAAATTACAACATGGTATCAGAGCTTCGTTACGACAACTGAGTGTTAAGAAACCCTACCTCTACAAAAACACCAACACCCACTACCAAAACTCTTCCAAATAGCCTCCTTAAAATGACCGATACAACCGTCGATTCTCCAACTTCATCTCGGGTTCAAGTGGCTGACCCAATAGTCATTGAGTCCGACCCAAAACCTACCTCCGGTGAGATACGAACACCGATCTTCTCCGGGGAGAACTACGACTTTTGGTGGATCAAGATGAGGACGATATTCAGAGCGCATGACCTTTGGAAGCTGGTGGAGAAAGGTTTCGAGGTGCCATAAGACGAAGACTCTCACCCTGGCGCAGCAGAAGACATTAAAGCTCAACTACATGAGGGATGCCAAAGCCCTCGGATTGATCCAAAATGTCGTCTTCGACTCCATCTTCCCCAAGATCTCCAACGAGGAGACAGCAAAGGCGGCTTGGGACATCCTCCAAGAAGAGTACCGTGGAAGTAAAAAGGTACTGGAGGTTAAGCTTCAAACTATTAGAAAAGAGTTTGAGCAAATCTCTATGAGAGTAGAAGAAATACTCGATGATTTTCTTAATTACTAGATTCACCAATGTTATAAATCAATTAAAAACATATGGTGAAGATGTAACAAATCAAAGAGTAGTTCAAAAAATTCTTATTTCTCTCTCTAGTAGATATGACCCCATTGTAAGTGTGATAGAAGAAACAAAAGATATGGAGAAGCTTTCATTACAAGAGGCAATCACATCCATCAAGGCGTTTGACAAAAATCTTGAGAAGAAGAATGAAGCTTCTACCATGGAGAGAGTCTTTCAAAGCTTCAACATGAGCTCAAATCAACATCAGAGCCAGAAGCAAAAGAAGAAGAAGAAAGGAGGCAAGCCCAATTTTGTTCCAAAGGCTCAAGAACAACAACAAAGTGGTAACTCTCAACAATGTAGCAAATCCACATGTAGAACTTGTGGCAAGTCTCATCAAGGAAAGTGCTGGTTCGAGGGGAAGCCCAAGTGCACCAACAGCTCCAGATTTGGGCATACCAAAGAGCAGTGCAGGACTCAAGGAAATAAAAACCAAAACTACCGGAAAGTTTTTACAAACCAAGAAGCGGATGGCGAAGGTAATGTTTTCTTTGCTTGTCATGGAGGAAAAGATAGTGATGGTAGTCTTTGGTATATTGACAGTGGCTGTAGTAACCACATGACCGCGAACCGGCCACTGTTGATAGACTTAGACACATCCTATTTTGGTAGTGTTAAGATGGAAAATGGGAATATTATAAAATCTGAAGGAAATGGTATCTTGGCTGTAAATACAAAGAAAGAAAAAAGATACATCAAGGATGTAATGCTTGTACCGGGTCTAGAGTATCTTGGCTGTAAATACAAAGAAAGAAAAAAGATACATCAAGGATGTAATGCTTGTACCGGGTCTAGAGGAAAATCTGTTAAGTGTAGGTCTCAAGGATGTAATGCTTGTACCGGGTCTAGAGGAAAATCTGTTAAGTGTAGGTCAAATGCTCCTTAACGATTATTTTCTAGTTTTTGGTGATCAAGCAGTGAAGATATATGATGATAGGAGTTTTAACAACTTGGTGGCCAAAGTCAATATGCAACCCAATAGAAGTTTTCCTCTCTCACTGCACTACTGGAACACTCAAGCTCTAAAGGTCGAAGAGGTGAACTCCTCCTGGATATGGTACAATAGGCTCGGGTATCTCAACTTCCAAAGCCTCAAGACTCTTCAAAATAGAGAAATGGTGTATGGCCTCCTAACCATTGAAGGAGTTGAAGATGTCTGCTCTAGTTGCATGAAAGGCAAGCAGCACCGAGGCGAGTTCCCAAAGGAAGGAGCGTGGAGGGCAACAAAGCCTTTGGAGTTGATCCATACAGACCTATGTGGTCCAATGAAGACGGAGTCCCTAGCCAGCAATAAATATTTTATCACTTTTATTGATGACTTTAGCAGGATGGCCTGAGCCTACTTTTTGAGGCTCAAATCAGAAGCTTTCACCGTCTTCCAAAAGTACAAAACAATGGTGGAAAGACAAACAGACCTAGAGATCAAGAAGATTCGAAGTGATCGGGGGTGGAGAGTACACTTCAGCAGAGTTCGAGGACTACTGCAGCAACCTTGGCATCTAGAAGCAAACCACATGTCCATACACTCATCAACAGAACAGAGTGGCAGAAAGGAAGAACCGGACAATCGTGGAGATGGCCAAGAGTCTCCTACATGAGAAGAACCTTCCCTACAAGTTCTAGGGAGAAGCAGTCAACACCGCAGTGTATCTTCTCAACCGGTGTCCAACAAGAGCATTGAAGGACAAGACACCCTTTGAAACATTCTCAAGTAGAAAACCTTCCTTAAACCACCTTAAGGTTTTCGGTTGTGTTTGTTTTGCTCACATCCCATGCCAGTTGAGATCCAAAATGGAGGAGAACACAAGAAGGTGTATCTTTATGGGATATGCAAGCCATACAAAGGGCTACAGGCTCTTCAACCCGAAGACTCAAAAGATCGTCATTTCACGGGATGTGGTCTTTGACGAATCATCCAAGTGGAATTGGGATCTCAAGAAGGAGGAGCAGGTGCCCACAAACTACATCTACCTAGATTCAGAGAGTATCCAAGATCCAGATCCAGAGTCAGAAGTGCAAACTCCACAAAACGGTTCGAGTTCAACAAGCTCTGATTCAACCACACCAAGATCAAGTGCTAGCTCCTCAAGCACACCATCCAACTCTAGTCCCAGTTCTTCTTCCTCCTCAGATAAAACTCCATTAAGATACAGAAATCTTAATGAGATTTACGCTTCATGTAATTTTTGCATATTAGAGCCTGAGTCATTTGAAGAAGCCATCAAAGAAAAAGATTGGAAGAAAGCCATGCAGGAGGAGATCTCCATGATAGAGAAAAATGGCACCTGGGAGCTGGTAGAGAAACCTGCAGCCAAGCCAATCATCGGCGCCAAGTGGGTCTATAAGACTAAACTAAACCTTGACGAGTCCATCAACAAGAAGAAGGCACGGCTTGTGGCGAAAGGCTATTCACAGAAGCCCGGAGTGGACTTCAATGAAACCTTTTCCCATGTCTTAAGACTAGAGACAATTTGTCTCTTGATTGCTCTAGCTGCTAACAAAGGGTGGAAGGTATTCTAGCTCAATGTGAAGTCGGTATTCCTTAATGGGGTGCTGCAAGAAGAAGTCTACATCCATCAACCGCAAGGGTTCGAAGTTGCAGGAGCTGAGGATAAAGTCTACAAGCTCCACAAGGCGCTCTACGGTCTCAAGCAAGCACCAAGGGCGTGGTATGAAGAGGTCAACTCCTACTTCACCCAACACAACTTCAAAAGGAGCCTTAGTGAAGCCACACTTTACATTCGAAGAGATGAGGTAGATATTCTCATTATAGCTGTATATGTAGATGATATTATCTATGTAGATGATATTATCTATACAGGCAACAGTGAAAAGCTTATGCATGAGTTCAAGAAAGACATGATGGAGGTGTACGAGATGACATATTTAGGCCTCCTTCACCACTTTCTTGGCATGGGGATCCAGCATGATGAAGATGACATCATCATTCATCATCAGGCCTATGCACAATCAATCTTGAAGAAGTTCGGCATGGCAGACTATAAGCCCATCTCTACGCTACTGGTGGTCAGTGATAAACTCAAGAAGGGAGACGGTACCGAAGGAGAAGACCTCAACCTCTACAGAAGTATCATAGGGAGTCTCCTCTACCTCTCTAATACTCGACCCGACCTCATGTTTGCCTCAAGTTTCTTAAGCAGGTTCATGCATTGTGCAACAAGAGTGTACATGGGAGCTGCCAAACGGGTCCTTAGATACATCCAAGGCACCCAGAAATTTAGGATCCATTTTGAGAAGAACTCATCAGCAAAGCTATTCGGATTCTGCGATAGTGACTGGGGAGGTAATAAAGATGAGGTGATGAAGATGACATGAAGAGTACCTCTGGATACTGCTTCACACTCGGATCGGGTGTGTTCTCCTAGGCGTCGATGAAGCAGGAGTCCGTGGCACTATCAAATGTAGAAGCCGAGTACGTGGCGGCTTCTCAAGCAGCATCACAAATCAAGTGTCTGAGGGATGTGCTTGAAGACATTGGTGAAAAACAACTGCAGCCTACTCCTCTCCTCTGCGATAAAAAGTCAGTAATCACAATAGCAAAGAACCCCGTCTTCCACAAAAGGATGAGACATATCAAGAGAAAATACCACTTCATTAGGGACGCGATCATGGACAAGGAGATGGAGGTCATCTACTGCAAAACTGAAGATCAAGTTGCAGACATTCTCACCAAAGTTTTGCCGAAGGATCGTTTCTGCACACTTCGAGAGCTAATGGGTGTTAAACCTGCTAACCCCTGAGGAGGAGTGTTGAACTAATCAGTGTTTAGCAACCTAAACAACTAAAGAGCCATAGTGTGATATCCTAGGTGGAAGGGAATCCTAAGAGTCAAAGTATAATAAGTAGGGTGGTATTCTAAGAGATGACTCCTTGTATTCTATGAAAGTAAATGTGTAGAGTATGAATGGTCATGT